TTGTATTTTGTCTCTAGTCTATCGTTGTATCCAAGTGAAATCTGAAGTCTCCTCCATTGTCTAATTACCATATAAATAGTTATTCTTTTAACACTAAACTGTGTGCTTACATCACATTTGCCTATACTTTCTATCTATAACTGGCCAAGTTAAACTTTAAGCACCACTAACTACCAATGGAGTGCAACTGCACCAATCACCTTGAAAAGCTCGCTGGGTAACTTAGTGAAACCTGGCATCAATAAAATATACTCATCGAAGTGTTATGTTATTAAATGGGGTATATGGGAAGTTTCAGCTTAGGTTTGCGAAAGATTAAGTTACTCTTTAAGCCAAGAACATGTTAGGGTTAGGTTAACCTAATAAAGGCGACATTAGGGTTGGTTTGGGCTTAATTACGGTTAGTTTTTAGGGGGTATTTTTACATTAGGGTTAGGTTCCAGAAAGATTAGGGTTATGTTTGGGGTTGGAAGACCTGAATAAATACATGCATAGAATGTAGTCAAATTACTCTGTTAATATAAGAATAGAACTTGTGTACTGTGGCGGAAGAGTATAATTCCACCGTTGGTGGAATTTATTTTGATAAAGTCTCACAGTGTTATACAGTAGTAATATATACTGGTGACGTTTCGAGCACAATCTATTGCTCAGTAAATATTACTATATAACACTATGAAACTTTATCAAAATAAATTTTACCTACAATAGAATTATACTCTGTTGATATAGCAGCCTAAACCTGAGAGCTGTTTTTATCCCATGTGAGGGGAAGGTATCCTCTATAACACTTTTCTACAGTTTTTATGTATCTTTTTTCAAAAATATATTTTTTATTTTGATTGCAGCTTGACTCCACACTGTATTCTTGGTACTAATATGGAATTTTCAGCATGTGATATCGGTAGCCCAAATTTTGCAGGCCGACCATAAATATCAGGTGTCTGTCGGGAGGGGATCGAACCTTGGACCATGTGTATGGTCGGCGAGAGTCCTAACCGCTATGTAACCGACGCATATAGTTGTAGTTCGTTCACTGATTAGTAGTTAGTGGTGCTTAAAGTTTAACTTTACCCTATAACTTGAAGCCGTTGTAAGAAGTATGTTCGGACGCTATTTTGTAACTTATAATTGGTTTCCTTAGGATGTAAGCAGTAGTTAAAGAAAATCAATGCACGAAATAAGACGAACTCGTATTATAAAACTGCAAGTCAGTTCTCTATTATTGCATGTACCTAGCTAACGTGACGCAATTAGAAAAATATGAGCTGCTTGGATTATGGATCCTAATAAAAGATTGTCTGTCTGTCTGTTTTCGACATAGAACTTTGCACAAATGTGCACCAGTTCAAGTCGCCACACTCCACTCCATGTAGCACACAAAGAAAGAGAAGAAAGTACAAGAAAAGCATTATAGAGACAGTAACTAGAGGTGTGAGTCAAAGGAAGAGTAATAACGAAGAACAAAACATTTCATTGGAGTTCATAAGTCACAAGAAGTGGATGCATCTGCACCAGCCACTGAGAACGATTTTGAGCCATGTCATCAATTGTTCCCAAACATTGGTTTTTACCGTCCCGAGGACCCCAACCAGCCAGTCAGGAAGTCTACACCTTCCTACGTGGCTTAGACTAACTGTTGTAGATTTCATTGATTGGTGACATGTTTTTGTTTGACCTCCGCTAGCTCTTTTCCAGCCTGACCCTATGTCAGCTAGCATTGACCGTCGAGGAAGGCGATGACTAGGCATGGATAGGTAACACATGTCCTAACCATCTCAGTCTTTGTAATTTCACGACTTCGTCGATTGATTTCCCCTTTTTACCTAGCACTCGACGCCTAACCTCAATGTTGCTCACCTTATTACCTACCTACCCAATCCAACATCATGATAAATACAAAATCAATAAAAGATTAAGAATCACAAGACTGTCATTTAAAATATCAGTTATTTGCAGCCCAATTTCATCATAATCTCTGCTTGTTATACAAATACCGTGCGTCGGTGGCACAGTGGTTAGGACTCTCGCCGACCATGCACATGGTCCGGGGTTCGAGCCCACGCCGACGAACACCTGATATCTATGGTCGGCCTACGTAATTTGGGCTACCGATATCACATGCTGAAAATTCCATACTTGTACCAAAAATAGAGTGTGGAATCGAGCTGTAATCAAAAATCAAAAATTAAAAAAAAAATTATCATCTTAAAATACTAAGCTTATATTATTTCAACTCCGTGATCAGATATTGAGGTAAAAGGTGCCCGTCACACACACACACACACACTTTTGTTGCTGTGATAAACTGTGTTTCATAACTACGGAATGCAAGAGAACTTTCTGGGAAGAATGTCCTTCATCCAGATCTACTATATTCAATTAAAAATAAATGAATATTCCTGTCCGTTAATATCCATCTATGTGAAATGTATGCCATTCTGCAGGATTTGCCTATTCATTTGCACTCAGATAATAATCATAATAATTTGCTTTATTCTAAAACAGTACTTGTGATACAGAATGGAATTCTCAGCATTTTACTACAGTATTGCATCCAGTTAGTACATTATCAATTAAAATAAAATTCTATTTAGATTAAGGAAATCTCAGTTAGTTTTTACAACAACATATTGGCATGTCGTTAGCAAAGCCGAAAATTAAACAGTGTTTGAAGGTGTTAGAAAAGTAGATGCTAGCGTGTTTACCGGGGTAAGCCGTAACAAAAAGGTCGAGATATACAGAGTGTGAGAGGATGAAGAAGAATGTTTTCATAGAGTTAGTAAGAAAGAAAGAAACAAAGGAGCACATAACAGAAAAAAAGAGGGAGAGAAAAGGAAAAGAAAGAAAGAAAACGTCGTACCTAAAAATGATATGAGTTGGAAAGGCGAGGTCTAATTGTTCTACTGATTATTTAATAAGTTAAAGGTTTCACGCCTAATGCTTTCTTTATCACAAAGAACAAGAGCTAAGGAGAGTATGGTTGAGTTTTCGTACTTACTAGTGCGAGCATATAGTTTTCTATATAGGCTTCTAGTCTGTCTGCCTGATGAGATAGATACAAGGGGAGAGTTGTGAGTGAAGAGGGTGGTGGTGTGAGTTAGATAGATAGAATGGATTTAGCCCATTTTTCACATGACTCCATGTGCCTGTCAACCAGAATATTAACAAGCTGGTTAAGTGGCACATTGCTTACCCTGCTGACAACCTTCAACAGCCTGCATACCAAACTATAGTCTTTCTTCAGTAGCCAGCCCAGGAAAAACTAAGGGAGAACAATAGAGAATAATAGGCAGAATACGGGAGTTAACGAATTGTAGGAGTAAGGGTTGACTTTGGTTATTCCAGCATGTCTTAACTTCTTGATGTAGAAGGTAAGACGGAATATTTTCTTACAAATCATCAAGATATGAGTAGACCAGGGAATATCAGAAGATAGAGTGACACCTAGGTATTTAATTTCCGACTTGGTTTCAATTTCAGTGCCATCTATGTTGCACATCTCGTGAGTGCTAACCAGTTTGTTTAGGTCAGATTTGTGCCTAAAGTTGAAATTGACTGTTTGGCATTTGGAGGGGTTTAAGGTTAGACCGTTTTCCTTGGACCATTGGCTGTTTCGTTTAGTGCAGTCACTTTGACATTTGACAGGCAAAGAAAGATACAGTCAGGCCGTCAGCATATTTGATAAAATTAATGTCATTTGAAGATGGTAAGTCATGTAGAAAGAAAGAAAGGAAAGAGAAGTGGGGAGAGTACAGCACCTTTGGGGATACCAGCTTCAGTGAGCACAGCAGAGGAGGATTTGCCTTTGTATACAGTGCACTGCATTCTGTTGCAGAAGCAGGAATGCAACCAGTTAGTGACCGAGGACTCAGTTTGTTTCATAGACAGCTTATTTAGCAAGAGACATCTAGGTACAGAGTCGAAAGCAGAAACGTGCAGCGGACGTACTCAGCACCTTTATCTAATGATGAGACGATACATACGACAAATATAATTTTACAAATGAGACGATCGTGTTGTGTAAGACGACTGCAGTGTCTAAAGTGCTCCGACCCTGTCTATAAGCAAATTGTTTGGGGTCTTCAAAGCTTTTAAGGGAGGGCTCGAGTTTAAGAAGTACTAGTTTTACCATAGGCTTTAGAAACGAGGAAGTGATGGCAATGGATTTGAACTTTACGCTCTTGCTATTGCCATGTTTAGGGCGGGGACTATTTTAATGTCTTTCCATGGAACAGGTACAACGGTTTTGGAGAAAGAAGCATTTAGATACTCAAAATGGATCCATTATTTTCCACACCTATCGTATCAGGGCTATTGATGCTACCCAGTTGCCCGGGCTTACATGGTAAGAACCGTAAGCTTAATCCACCACTTATTGGGTGGAGTCCTAGTTCTAGCCAATAAACCACATCTCCACGAAGCTAACTTATTCTTAGCACATCTTATGAATTTAAACAGCTTTAACGAATGAGTTCGCACAAGTATTACTGTGATTTGTCATTCTACCAAATACCTTAGTTTATCAAACACTCGACAGTTATCATTACCGGTGTATGTTTGTAGATGAACCTTCAGACGAGGGATATAAAAAGGATGTCATTTCATATCCATGTTAAAAGTGTGCACGCAGATCAGTACGCAATGTTCAAGTACACGTAAGTCAAATAAAAAGACAAATTAATAGACTGTTAATCGCGAGATTATAAACTAGTGTTACAATGTAACATAAAATATTTTATTTATAACTGTAGGAAGTTAAATAGTGTAGATCATTAAGTCAACCAAAGGTGATCAGCCAGTGGGAAATTTAAGAAAGTATAGAATTCAGCCATAACATTAATGTGATGGCAATTGCCATTTTGGCCGCCCAGTTATTTATGCAACTCGTGTCAGTATATGTTGTATACTGCCCAAACACAAAAATAGTGCACATTAATGATATTGAGTGGTATGGAGACGTGGTAGAACTCGCAAATAACCACTTTCCAACTAATTACCTCAATCAAAGCGGGCAACTCTGAAGAATAGCAGCCCAAACCGAAACTACCTTGCGAACGGATAAATGACCTTGACAAGGACAACTTCGACCAATCAGCAGGCTCAAAAAATCGGCGCATAATTGTAATAAGTCGTTTATATATAAGGAATGCAATGTTAAAAAATGACAAATGACCTTGAGCAACTAATCAGGTGACTCTGTTTTATCCAGACGTACTTATGGGTGCTGTATACCTTTTCCGTTACAAATTCTCTCCAGATCTTGTTTTGATAACTGTTTGGAGAACGGACTTGTAGGAAGGTCGAAAAATTGCCAATGTGGAGGTGTCATTTATATGCAGAGATACAATAGGTGCATCGATAGGTTTTTTTGTTAGTGCAGCACTAAGCGCTGCATAATAGGCAATATAAACCTGCACTGCGATTAGGGAACGCCTCAATATATATATATATATATATATATATATTCTGGACGTTGGTGTCATATATCCCCAATACCTATTGCGGATTCACACTCAATCTCCCTCGATTGTATTTGCTTATCAAAAGTACCTAAGGAATCTGTAAATTATGAACGAACGACATATGTGGAGTGCGTAACAATGTGATTGTACGCTTTTTGGTTATTTGTAGAAATTAGAGATATTGTACATGATTTTGTTTAAAACGCTTCTTGTTGAAATATACATAACTTCCGTGTACACCTGAAAATACACTTTGCTTTTCGAGTCTTCGCCTTCTTCCTGGTTATTTCTGCTTACTGGCTCAACTCACATCGTGTTTTTTACTTCGGATTTATTGTAGGAGTCTACTACTCTCAACCGAAGACTTTTCTACAACCGGAACACACCAGCTACAGCAGACACAACCCAAACGTACCCGTGGATTATATAAATAATTTGTAGCAGAGGACTTAGACTTTATATCCAAGTAATCCTTTTTGTTGGTATAACTCGTCGCTGCATTTTTGGTAATAAATTGTTATTTAACATTCCATTGACTTGGATTATTATTCTAACATTTGTGATATTAGTGAACTCTAGTATTAGTACCCTACAAATAAATTGGTGAGCCTGATAAGGACACGGATTGTTTTGACGTATTGATATTCTTACTTTTGCCATTTTGTATATTCGTTGTAATTTTTTGTGTGGTTTATATTTGTATCCTATTTTGCACTTACAACCTCATATTTATAATGTCGTCACCTCAGTCCGGTACATCAACCGAGCAGACAACTAATAGCGGGACAAATGCCACAATAAATGCCATCACTGATTTCCGTTTACCTCAATACGGTTTCGCGGAACCAAGGGTTTGGTTTGCTGTAGTTGAGCCGTTGCTAGAAGCACGGGGCATTAAGTCCCAGATAGCCAAATATGGTGTAGTGCTGGCAGAACTCCCTCCGTCAGTATTGACAGAAATCAGCGATTTCATCGAAAATCCCTCGACATAACATCAATTTGATAAACTTAAAGTCCTCCTCATACAACGCACCAGTTTGTCAGATTTTATTTTTTATTTTTTTTATTTTTATTTTTGATTTACAGCTTGATTCCACACCGGATTTTTGGTACAAGTATGGAATTTTCAGCGTGGATATCGGTAGCCCAAAATTCGCAGGCCGACCATAGATATCGGGTGTGCGTCGGCGTGGGCTCGAACCCCGGACCATGTGCATGGTCGGCGAGAGTCCTAACCACTGTGCCACCGACGCACAACTACCCACGGGCTGTGAACTAGGACCGCGTAAACCATCCCAACTCCTCAGGACACCATAAAGTAGACGAGGTAGTGCTGAAACAGATGTGGTCGCAACGTTTACCTAGAAATGTCCAGCAAATTTTAATCATCTCATGAACGTCGTATGACTTAGACCCACTAAGTGACATGGCAGATAGTATTATGGAGGTCTTATCTGATAACACTATTGGTCACGTAGCATCTGGTAGTGCCACATCGTGTCATTCCACACCCACGGCAGACACACCGATACTCGCCGCCATCGCAGACTTAGCGGCAAAGATTGACAATTTGAAGACTAGCATATCTGATCGACGAGTCCGGAGACGGAGTTCATAAAGAAGGTCACCATCACGACGAGGATCTTGTTAATCGATAGATAGATAGATAGACAGAGTGACGGACGGCTAATCGATATATGTGACCCATTGTCGCGACTATCGGCTAATTTAATGTAACTCTCACCATGTGATGTGACCTTGAATGTTCTTTATTTCCTGTCACTCAATGGTGTGTGTATATGTAATTAATTAACTGTTCATTTTGTCTGATCCTTCTATACTGTTCGGTATGTTTTTGTCTTTTCTTGAGTTACAATGGATTAGTGCTTTTCTCGGTGTAATTGTACGCTTTATTTTATGTTTTAGAAACAGATAAAGTTTAAGTCAAGTTACTCTGTTTTTAACTAAAGTTAAGCCAAGACTCTGTGTCGTCAGTACTGAGGACAAACTAAATCTGTAGGCAATCCTACAGATTTCTCTCACGACAGCGTCCTCACACATCTTCTCGGGATAGTAATATATGCTGGTATCACTGGAAGTTCGGACGTCATGCCCTGAAGTGTGTAAAACCGTGCAGCTTTAGCGAAGCCAACCAGGCTCAGGGAAACGTCTCAGCCAGACAGTGATGGCGACAGCTGTTGCTGGAAAGTAAACAAGTCGCCTTTTCAATGTGACACTTTATTCCTGTTAGAAACAGGAGCAGAAGTTGGCCTGATCCCTCCTTCACTATCCAGGCGATCTACACGGGCACCCTGAGAACTGTCTCTCCGGGCAGCCAACAACACAAGCATACAGACGTATGGAGAGCAATCCCTCATACTGGATCTAGGTTTACGTCGGCGTTTCACGTGGATTTTCATAGTAGCCGACGTCGGTCACGCCATCCTCGGAGCTGATTTCTTAAGTGATTTCAACCTGTTAGTTGACGTCAACAATAAAAAACTGATTGATAACAACACCCAGCTAAAGATCCATGGAATTAATCCCAATAATATCAGCATCGAAAGACCAACGGATTGCACTTTTTCCGCCCTTCTTCATCGTTTCCCTAAAATACTTAAGCCGTCGTACAACATCGAGGGCGTCCCTCATACAGTCACTCACAAGACTGTTACTACGGGTCAACCAGTTCGTGCTCGTCCTCGTAGATTACCCCCGGACAAATTGGCAGCAGACAAGGCAGAATTTGAGCACATGATGCAGCTCGGCATCATCAGACCCTCCAATAGTCCTTGGTCTTAGCCCTTACACATGGTGCCTAAAGCTGATCATGATTGGAGGCCATGTGGGGATTACCGACATTTAAACAATGCCACAGTTCCCGACCGTTACCCTATTCCCCATCTTCATGATTTCTCCCTGACATTACACGGAAAAACCATTTTTTCTAAAGTAGACTTGGTCAGGGCCTATCACCAAATACCAGTTGCCCAAGAGGATATCGAAAAAACGGCCATCATCACACCTTTCGGTTTGTTTGAATTTCTCCGCATGCCATTTGGCCTAAAGAACGCAGCACAATCCTTCCAACGTTTCATGGATCAGGTCACACAAGGTTTGGACTTTGTATTTGTATATATCTATGACGTTTTAATTGCTAGCTCGTCGCCTGAAGAACATTCTGATCACCTCACCATCTTATTTCAACGGTTAGAGCAATATGGAGCGGTCATTAAACCAAAAAAGTGCATATTCGGTGTCTCCTCTATACAGTTTCTGGGACACCACATAACCGCGAATGGTATTACGCCTACGGAGGAAAAGATAGAGTCCATCAAAAACTTCCCCGAACCAGATTCACTCAAGAAGGTCAGACGTTTTTTGGGGATGTTTAATTTCTATCGGCGTTTCATTCCTTCGTGTGCCTCCATCGTCCAGCCGTTAACCGACCTCCTTAAAAATGATCCTAAAAAGTTTCAGTGGTCAGCCCAAGCACACGAATCTTTTTGCAACGCAAAAGACGCTTTATCCAAAGTCACTATGCTATCCCATATCAACCCCGAAGCATCCCTTATTTTGTGCACAGATGCCCCCCAAGTAACTGTAATAATATTGCCTTGGTTTTTCTCGACCGTTGGGTGTCAAACTACGGTGTACCAACTACTATTACATCCGACCGCGGTCCTCAATTCCAATCGACACTCTTTCGCGAACTGACGAGACTTCTGGGAGTGAAACATATCTCCACAACAGCCTATCATCCGGCAGCGAATGGTCTAGTGGAAAGATTCCACAGACAACTGAAAAGCTCCCTGATGGCGCAGAATGATACATCTAAGTGGAGTGAATAATTACCTTTGATTTTACTTGGTATCCGATCTACTATCAAGGAAGATTTAGGATGTACACCGGCTCAACTTGTTTATGGCACCAACCTAACCTTGCCTGGACAGCTAGTCCCCTCAGCCGATTACACAGACGTGAACATTGACGACTTCACCAACCGATTAACTAGACAAATGCCCCAACTTCAACCAACAGCACCTCAACAATCTCCCCGACGAGATCAGACAAACAAACATCTGCAAACTTGCAAATTCGTCTTTGTTCGAGTTGACTCCATCAGAAAAGGATTGCAACGCCATACGAAGGTCCCTTCCGAGTTATTAAACGTTCAGACAAACACTTTACAGTGAACAGGAATGTAAAACTAGGGACTATTTTCATTGATCGAATCAAACCCGCCTACATAGACAACGACTTTGAAGCAACATCGAAAACTGCACAACCAAATAATCATACATCCGATTCCACTCCAACGGCACCAAGTCTTATCCTCCATCCATATCAAACACGTAGTGGTCGGGAAATCAGTAAAACGGCTCCCTACGTTCACTTTGAGGACTGATAAAAAAATAATTAAAAATTAATATTATCTTTTTCGTTTAGACATTATTATCACGACTGTTAATATTTCTTTGTAAACTTTGATGTTACTAACACTATTACTTATATATATGCACGTCACCTACAAAACAGGTTGTCAGCCATGTCTCGTAAACCGTGAATGCCCAGCTCTTGCTACGCTGGGCCTCACGCTGTCCCTCGAAACTTCTCAGAAACGCTTAGTACGAACGGACGCAAGGACCAGAACACAGATTGGCCACTCGAGAACATTCATTCTAATACCA